TTGCTATTTGCAGATAAAAAATGAGAAATAAAAAGATTTGGAGAAATAAAAAAAAAAGTGACTAAATACATTCAAACGAAAAAATGTTCTTTTAGTTAAATACAACAATTACTATATTATTATATAGTATATTAAATTTTTTTATTAAATTACTAATAAAATAAGAAATTCATTTATTTATAAAAAAAGGAGCACCTGTAAAATGAAAGTAATCAAAATAAATGAAACAAAAAAATTATTAGATATAGTTTATGCCATATATAATATTCATCTACAAAGCAAATTTAAGTAGCATATCATAAACAATGGAAAATATTTTGAATGCTTTTTCAAAATTTCAACAAGATCCTCATAATGCTGGAGTAACTGATTAATTAAATGTTTAAATTCAGAGAAGTATTTATTATCTACAGAGGTGGAAAGTAACAAATTTACTCATGTTACTGTAATTAAGTAGCTTTTTTATAAATTTTGTACTTTTTAAGTATTATTTTAAATGCGTACTTTTACTTTTATTTAGGTATACATTTTTTAAAGTATTATACTTCACTACATTTTGAAACAAATACAATACTGATTTAAAAAAATTATTACGTATCAGTATTGTTTAATATCCCAAAAAGTATAATTTAATTCTTTTTTATTTGATAAAAAATAATGTATTTTAATGTTTCTTTTATTTGGTAAAAAATAAAGCATTTTTTATAACTTTGTTTCCTAATAGTTTTTACTGAGTGAAGTTAGGGGTTGTTCTCAAATTACATCAGGCATTAGAAAATACATCATGTAATAGAGTATTTGATTTTGTGATGCAACATTTTTTTTAGTTCCAAATCTAGAAAAACGTTTCTTTTGTTTAACAAGTTAAAATAAAAATTCATTTTACTAATAAAAAACAAGAGATTCAGTGTTATTAATGATTAAACTACCCATTCAGGTGATTCAAAATGCGACTATAAGGTATGAAAAATGATATAATAGCATTTGGAAATGAAAGAAAATGTAATTTTAAAACTCATTTTAAAAGAATGTGCTTCAGAATACAACACCAATGTTTAAAAAAACAGTACAGTCACACTTCAAAATATTAAATTGCGTGTCAGCTTTTTTTAATTAAGTTTGGTGAAATTATAACACACCATAGTGTATTCATTGTTAAACTACTTTAATTAGGCCAGGTGAATAAAAAAAATCAATTGCTTTTACTCAGTAATTGGTTGGCTTTATATGAATAAAAACTTTAGCAGTTTTTCTAAAAATTTTATTCGCGTAAAGCTGACCAAATACTCTAAAAATGCTGAGTAAAAGCAATTGCTTTTTTTATTCACCCGGCCTTAGGCTTTTTAAAGTGTTTTTTTAAATAATCGCAAGGAATAAAATCTTCATAGATCAAAATATTTTATTAACAAACTTTTGTAAGTTGAAAACTCTCTGGTCGTCCTGCCGGGCGACTGACAGGCATTTTAAAAAAAATTTCAGTCACCTTTGGAGAATATGCCACTGAACGACCATGAGGGTACACCCCTGTCAAAACCTCAGTTTATGCATGTACTTCAACTGTGACTATTTCAATTTAACTTAAATTAGAATTGACTTTTAAAATTGGTTTAAGTTTTATTTTTGAAATAAATATAAAATGTTTCTGTGTTAAATAAATCTAGCAGCACAATGGTTGAAAATGCCTAGTCTTTCTTAGTTCAGTTTTTTGCTGTTGTTATCAAGTTGAATTTAGTTTTAAATAAATTCATATTCAATACACATGTTTTTACCATTAAAAAATTAATAGAATTATCATATTATTCATCTTCTGTTTTTAAAATCTATATTGTTTAAAACGCTATTAAAAATTTTATAAACTTCTAATGTTTTATTCACATTTCAGCAATTTGCTCAAATAGTAACTCCTATAGTAAAATGGTAAAAAAATAGTATGTAAAATAGTAAATAATAAAATTAGAAAAATTGACTTTAAAGATTTAAAATAGCAATTAAATAAATTTAATGATTATATCTTAATTTTTTTTAAACAATATGTAAATTTTACTGTTGAATAAACAAGTATCAAAATCTTTTTAAAACTTGTTTTCAAAATTAAAAATACTTAATACTTTTAAAATTAAAAAAATATTCTTATAAAATTAGGTAAACCACTGATCATTATCTCCCTCCCAAACTCTTATTTTTTGTAACAAGATGATAAAATCAGACAAGCATTTTGTACTCTTGTTACAAAAAAAAAAAAAACAAAGTTGTTTATTGTGCTCTAAAGTCTTTCTAAATATTTTGTTTGCAAGTGTGTTTAATGTGCTCCCACTTTATCATTGTATAAACCATTTCTGTGAAAATAATTTTTTTTCAAGATTTTTTTGCTAAAAAGAAAATTATGTAAATTTAAAAATAAATAAAATAAAACAAAACCTTCTTTTTTTACTATTTTGACATTGTTCTTCTTCATCCATAATATCAGCCCAACTTTTTAACTCTGTTTTCATAAAACTAAACAGTATAAAGTAAACCATATTAATTAAATAATTCATATAAATTTTTATATACTTTATACTTTATTTAGTACCATGTTAAACATTACTGTATAACCTATATACATCATTAAGTAAATACATTGAATTAAAAACAAATAATTAAAAACATAAAAACTTTAATATAAGCCTTTATCTATAGAGGGGTTTCTACAAGGTCTCCCTAGCATTATCCTGCTATTGATTAAGTAATTTTATTGTGATGCTATACACAAAAGTTTAATCGACATAATTTCAATCAAACTTTCCAGGGTTTTTTCAATTAAAAAAAATCAGTAAAATGAATTTAATTAATTTTTTCTATTTTTAAAAAAACAATCAATTAGCTATAGAATTAACATTAATAAGATAAAATAGTTAAAAAAATAATTCAAAATAATTAAATATAATTAATTAAATAATCATAAAATGAGTTGCATAAAAGTTTAATTGAATTAATGCTTAGAACATAAAAAATTAAAAAAAAAAAACAAATTTAATATTTAAAGTGTCCTACTTTGGCTCGACAGCAAAAAAGAACTTGCCTCTGCATTGAATTGACCAATTTCATTCACATCTCGTGTGGCATTTTCAACCAATTCTTTTTTAGAAGTTGCTTCAAATGCTCAGTTGATTGAATTTGGTTTACCAATTGAGTGTTCGATCTAGGACTAAATATTTTCTAATGGGTTGATATCTGGTGATTTTGGGCACCAAGCAACAAATAGATCTTCTTTGTGTTAAACCAGTGTGTTATATTATGTGCTGTGTGAGCAAAAGCCCTGTCTTACTGGAAGATGTATTGCTTGCTTCTGCTAAAAAAGTACCTTATTGATGGAATCAAATATTTTAAATGTATTTTTGTAGGTAAATTGGTTGATACGACCATTACACAGCTCACTAATACGAAGGCTTTTATGGGAAAACATCCCCATATTCCTACTGAGCCTCCACCACCTTGTCATTTTGATTGTAAATAATGCTCACAATATTTCTCAGTTGCAAATCATTAAATGTAATATTCCTTTGCAGTTCACAACCTGAAAATTGACTCATCCTTTAAATCACTTTTGTCCAATCTTCAACTGTCCAATGCAAATGGTTCAATATGTTCTTTGCATCATTTTAATCTTTTGGGTCCATGATTGACAGGATAGGGTTTCTAATAGCAATGTAAGACCCAATACTTTCTTTTACTAATGTTTTTTTAATGAGTTCTTTACTTACATTTGATTAGAAAAGGATTGGTTGAATATTTGAGCCTTTTGTTGCTGAGCATAGGGTTTTGTCTACTAGTTTTGAATACGCTACTTTATTTGCAGTCACTTAGCTTTGGTGGTCTTCAAGCAAGAGGTAATGTCAACGTTACCTGTCAGCTCTCAGGTTTTTACTATTTTTATATGCAAAATTCAGAAAGAGGTTTATTTAAATACATATATATTTTTTTCTTTATTTTATAAATACAAACATAAATAGCAAAAAACAAAAAAGATAAACTTAAAATCCATTAAATTTAAATGTTAGAAAAACTAGCAATTTGTTATAAAAAATCTCAATTAAACTTTTGTACATAGCTGTATATATATATATATATATATATATATATATATATATATATATATATATATATATATATATATATATATATATATATATATATATGCAGTGCTCAAAGTGGAGAAAAAAAAAGGAATGGAATGGTATATATATATATATATATATATATATATATATATATATATATATATATATATATATATATATATATATATATATATATATATATATATATATATATATATATATATTAATTAAAGGACTTTTACCAAAATGAAAAAAAATTATTTAAGTAGGCTAGAAAAAATTCCAAAACTCAGCTCTCAGTCAACGTAGTAGTCCTCCTCACATGTTCTACCTATTCAGGTAGAACATGTGAGGAGTGTTGAACATGCAAAGAGTGCTGCTACATTAGTCGATGTAAATGTTAATGTTAGAAAAACTTGCACATTGTTATAAAAATATTGATTTAATTTTTTTCCTTTCTGTAATGGTATTTTGCCATATGTAGGCATTTTTTCGAGAAAAAATGCCTACATACAAAATAGTATATATAAATATATATTTTAAACATCTTTGCTTCCAACAAGGCTGCAAGCAACCACTGATTAGTGTTGGAAGTTACTGGAAGAGAAAAGATGAAGATTGTAGAACAAGATAATGATTGACAGACGACTTAAAAGATTGCAAATTATATGAATCAGGAAAGCAAGACGAAGGAAGCGAATTCCAAATAACTGATGTTCGATAAAAAAAACTAGACAAGTAAGAGTTTTTGGAGCACTTAGGAACAGTAACAGAAAAAGGATGAGACTTAATTGAATGACGAGTAACACGAAAATAAATTTTAGTAGATGGCACAAGAAAACGCTAGCTCTTTAGAGCAGTGCCCATTATAGTATTTGTAGAAAAGAGAAAGAGAAGCAACATTACGACGATGAACCAGAGGTTGAAGGTTGGCTGCAAAAGCATGTCCAACTATGTTTACAATGCGTTTTTGCACCTTGTCTAAAAAGAAAAAGGGCATCATTAGAAGATCCGCCCCAGATATGGCAAGAAGGCCAGATTTGAGATTTATAGAGATAGAGAATAGAATCCAGAGTAAGAAAGTGTCGAGCTTGATAAAGAGAAGCAACTTTAGCAGATGCTAATTTTGCAACAGATTTGACATAAGGTTTCCAAGAAAGATCAGAAGTAAGAGTTAATCTTAGAAGATGAAGGGTAGGAGACTCATCGTGTACATTACCATTCATAAATATAGGAAGGTCTAAATTATTGCGATAACGATTGGCTGAAAAAAATTGAGTTTTATCTGAATTAAAGTTCACCAGCCACTGTAAGCCCCATGCTGTAGCAGATGTGAGATCCTTTTCAAGCTCAGATGCCCCCTGCAAGCAATCAGAGGGAGTTGGCTTCTTATCGTGACAAGAATAAATGGTAGTATCATCAGCAAATAATGCCACCTTATATGTGAGAATATCTGGAAGATCGTTAATGTAAATTAAAAAGAGTATAGGGCCAAGGATTGCACCTTGAGGAACCCCTGAGGTTACAGAATAAGAAGAAAAGTGCTGACCATCAAGGACAACTTTTATACTACGATTGGAAAAGAAGGATTCAATAATCTTAAAGATGTTTCCAGATACACCATAAGAAGAAAGCTTATGGAGAAGACCAGCATGCCAAACTTTATCAAACACTTTAGAAATGTCAAGAGCGATGACCTTAACCTCTTCACCTTTATCTAATGCGCGATATATATATATATATATATATATATATATATATATATATATATATATATATATATATATATATATATATATATATATATATATATATATATTATTTAGTATTTAATTTAGTCATAATGATTCTAAATAATGATCCGCAAACAGCACATGGTAAATATATTTAAAAAAATCATACAGACATTTGAACAGTTGATTTAAATTTTTACTCAACTTGTCTCTCCTCTACTACTTATGGTATAAAGGTTAGTCTTTTTTTTGAAACTATTGACACATTTTGCCTTCCAACTTGTTTCTGGTTAAACAAGACAACTGCCAGGGTTACCATTACCTTTAGCATTTGTGGACTATAAAAATACTTATAAAATATAATTAGGATTATACTAAGTTTATAGCACTGATAAAATTTTTCCTTTTTAAATTAAAAATTGATCTTTCTAAGCCTAAAACAATCAAATTTATTGAAGCAATTCTATTTTATTGTTAATTCTGTTATATTTGAATAAATCTTTTGTTTATAAATCAAGTAATCTGATGTTGAATCTTCAAATTGCTTCAAATAATTAAACTATCCAAAATGAACAAATTCAACCATTCAAAATCAACCAGATCATATTAACACCACCAGATTATATTAGCACCACAAAATTATGTTAGCACTATTAGTTCATACAGTTTGGTAGCCCTGGTTTTTAGATGTGTTCAGTATTCCAATGAGCTCATTTTACAACATAAAAAACTTAATCATAAATAAACCTTGGTAATATTAACTTATAAAATAAATTTATTAGGAGTGATACAATGTTAACTAATCCTAAACACATCTTCAGCAAACCAAGGAAAAAAATGTTAAGCAAAGAACTAGAGAATTAAAGGTCAAAAATAAATTGTTTTAGATAATTCTTCAAGATATGCAGTATTCAAGTTAAGATTTTACAGTAATAGTAAAATCCATCTTAATTTTGTTTTAATTCTAATTCTTACAGAAAAAACAAACAAATTCAAAACAGGTTTTGTTTAGTTTTTAAAAATTCAATTTATATAATTAATTTTATACTAATCATTCCATGAGTAATGGAATGATTAGTATAAAGAGGAGGATTCTGTTCTGCTACATATCAATAGTTTGATTTACTGGTTGAAGTAGTACATTTAAAAATATTGAGAGCTTTTTAAAAATAATTTATAATTATGTTTCTAGCTAATTTAAAACAAAAGCCAATAATATAATTTATAAATTAACATTTTTTGCACCTTTTTCATTTTTTTCAATATATAAGGTTGCGCACTTGGGTGATTTTTATCTCATGCTCTGACTTATGACTTTAACCTGACTCTAAAGTATAAACCTTGGGTCTATACTTTAGAGTCAGGTCATAAACAAGGCTGCTGTACAAAAGCAACAATTATTGAGGATAATATTATGTTTTAAATCAAAGCTAGAAACAGTTATTTATTTTTAATTAAGATATACTTATTATCAATATTATCAATGGTGTTAACATAACTAAATGTGGACTGAAAAAATTTAAATTTAACTGTAAACAACTCATAAAAATGAAATAAAAAATTTATATATTTTTTTACTATGATGAAATTTTAAACATAATTTGATTAAGTAATTCTTCCTAATACACAAGAATATTGAGTTGGTAACAAATTTTTCATACAAAAAATTCACGGAATTTCCAAAACAGTTTAATTTTAATCATTGTTTTAAAACTCAACAATATCACGGAAAATAATAGTCGACAACCTTTATATTAAAAAACTGTATAATAGCATTTATACTTCCTTTTGTTTGATTTATGGTACTCTTGTTCAATACGAACATCTTTAATTTCCATTCTTTAGCTACAAAGTTCAAAAAAATAAAAAAAGTTTATTACAGTTTCACCATAATAGCTAATTATTATAAAAGCAATAACATAACACGATATTAGCAAACATATTTAATATTAGTAAGCGCATTTCAAGAAAAGGCTAAAATTTTGCTATCTATTTTAAAGGATTCAATCGAAAATAATTCTTTATAATAACTAATATATTATATAGATTTATTATATACTTTTAAATTAAAATAGAGGTAAAAATATTAAGAGCGTTTTATTAAGGGGAAATAGTAAATAAGAATACCCGCTTAATTATTTTGTTGTGTTAATGGATCTTTGCGATTGGAGGATATCTTTTCGGACTTGCTTGAAAGCCATATAAAGTACCTCTACTAAGTGGCTCCACTCATCTATAAAATAACAATATAATATAGATCATTATAATATAGATCAGTGAGTGGCTCAGATTACTATCTAGTTGAAGTGGTTTGGAAAGAGAGGCATGCGCGCGTTTGTTAAAAACGAAATTGAAAAATTGTAATCGAAACAAATATCAAAAATCGAAACAAAAAGGTTTTTGTACATTTAAGTACATATAGTTCTTTTCTTAAAACGTCAATGCTCAGTTGGATTGAAGAACTTTATTATTTTTTTATTTTTTATTTTAGATGTCCCCAAGAAATCCTAACAGTCTTATCACAGAGATCAACGGATGAGCATTTAATAGGAAGTTCACGCCTCCTTCCCAGCCAATGTCGCCATAGTTGCTTATAATAACTATTATCATAGCAACCACTCCGCTAGAAGAAATTATAGAAAGATATTTAAAATAAAATATTAAAATATTTAACATGTGTTTATATCAAAAGCCTTTTTTGTTTTTATAGATTCTAGAATTGTAAATATATATAACCAAAGAATCTGATTAAATTTATTCCGGTAGATTATGCAAATATTTTTAGCATTATTTCCAGAATAATTAAAGACGAAAAATTTTTTTTATTTAACAGAAAACTGTTTTGTAACAATAAAGGTTCTATTTTATCAATTTATACAAATGTTGACAGAGATGAATCACATAAAACAGAGCATGACATTAGTAAGTAACCGGGGCCCCGGCCCCAGCTAAAAATAATACTTTTTTCAAACCCGGCCCTGGCTAAACTGTAAGATTTAGCAGGGGTTGATAGCCGGGGTTAGAAGAAAATTTATAATACTTTATATATTATAACTTTATGCTTACATTTACTATTTGTTAAATAATGCCATAAATTTATATATTTTCAAATTCTAGATTGCAAGCAACCACTATTAAGAATAAGTTAAAATACTATGAAATGGTTGACTGAAGACTTAAAAAGTTGTAGGTTGTATATAAAAGAAAAACATAAATGTGGCTAATAGTTATAAGGTTCTTTTGATGTGCAAGGAAAAAACTGGATTAATAAAAGTTTTTGTAGCATGAAGGGACAGATACAGTAAAAGGATGCAACTTGTTGAATAAGAAACAAGCAAGAATGAGATTTTGGTTTATCGTAATAGAGGTAATAGCTTGTTTGAGCATTGACCATGATTGTATTTGTAGAAAAAAGAAAGAAATAAAACCTTAAAATAATAGGAGAGTGGCTCAAGCTTGGAAGACAAAACAGGTCTAATTACATTTACAATATGCTTTTAGACTTTGTCAGAGGATAAGAGGGTTGTTACTTATCAATATAGGAATGCTAACAATATTGCAATATTTTTGCAGTAAACAAACGAGTTTTGTTCTCTAACAAATGTTGTGAATTTTAAATCCAAATTTATAATCCACAAGCCACTGCAAGCCTTAGGCTGTTACAGAAAAAAGTGAAAACTTTTTGTCAATAGAAGAGTATTAAGTTGAGTCATCAGGAAATAAGGCCACTTTAGACTTCATGAAGATTGTTATTGTAGATAAGAAACAATACAGGAGCAAAAGTAGAACCTTGTGGTACCCTTAAAGTTACTTGGAATAAAGAAGATGGTATGCCTTCAAGAATAACTTTACTACTGCAGTTAGAAAAAAAATTTTAAAAACCTTTATATAAAGAAACTTATATCACAGTTAAAGCTAATTGTAGGATAGTTAGAGAGGTCAAAGTATTTTCTAGATTTTTAAAATATTGGAACCACTTATTTAGAACTTTATAAAAGTTTAGCAATAACTGAAGAGAGTTCTGAAGAACACTGTTTAAAGACTATGATGGAGATCTATTATGGATCACAAACTGTAGAAGTGTTTAACTAAGAATTAACTTTAGCATTGGAAGCCAGAGTAATTTAGATAACTATGGTTTAACTGTCAGGAAGAGTATGACCATTATATTCAAGAGTCAAATAATGGTAAGATTTCTTTGCAAATAACTCTGCTTTATTCTGGGCAGAAGTAAAAAGATCAGACACATATTGTTATATAAACTTTAGTAATTATATGTATTTGCCAAAAGAGAAGACGATCAGATGGATGTGTGGCGTGACTCAGACCAAACAAAAAAAGAAGGCATAATCTTAGACAGATTCGAAAAAACATTGTATCAAACAACGTTTATTAGAAAACATAAAAGCAATTTAGACATCAGCATGTAGAGAGGTACCAGCTTCAGTAGAAAATGGTAATGGTAGTAAGAAAACTTGAAGAGAGTGCCTTACATATTGTATGAATGAATTTTAGTTAAGAAAAAAAAATGCTCTAGATTGTTTATATTTGAGAAACAGCTTAAAAGAGGAAGGCTCAAGGTTTAGAAGCTGATGATGGTGATCATGATTACGATTATGTTCATTATCATTAGGCTTTAGCATTCGTATTTTATGCTGTTGATGATGATGATTGTGGTCATGATGATAATAATGATGATTATGATAATCATGTTGATTATATTGATGTTTATATACGAATATATATACAAAATATAACATGAACTTTAAATATAAAAAAATGCTTTAAGATGTATAAATGTTTATGCAACCCTGGTCACAAACCCGGTCATATATATATATATATATATATATATATATATATATATATATATATATATATATATATATATATATATATATATATATATATATATATATACACATATAAAAACACATATATATAAAAAAATACATTCTCAAAAATCACATTATTGTATACCATTTCATAGCTTAAACATTCAGCTTTTATAAAAATGTTTATATTTTTATATAAATGTTTATATTTATATATATATGCTTCTACGTATGACGTATGCTTCTAAGCTGTAGAATATAAAGCTTTTTTTTTGACAAAAAAAAAACCTTTCGAGTTTTTTTTTAATTTGAAAATATTTTTTGTGTTAATAATAAGCATAAAATAGTTTTTAATTTGTAAACCTCTCTTTTTTTTGGATAGTTTAATAATATCAAGTTTTGTCTTTCAAATGAGCATTGCAACACTATTTTTTGTAAGTTATGTCAAATAAAATGATTTTAGATGACGTCGTACTTGAAGTACTTTTTTCATTTAAAATTTGGCTTATGAATATATGAGTTGTGAGAATATATGAGTTTTGGTATATTAATTTTAAATAAAATATTTTATGTTATTATATACACAAAATGGTTTAAGCTTTAGGTTCTTTTTTATATGGATTATGTAGTAGTTACTTGAAATATAAAAAAGAGCCATAGAACTGCATAAACACATCTAAAGTTAGTAATTGGATATGTGTTTCGTTTTTTAAATGCATAAAATATTTTCAATCAGAATGCCACATTAATACTCATCTTGTTTGTAACTTTGATCTTTTAAGAAATTTAACCTAGTAACTATGCAAAATGAACCGTTGCCAGGTATTGCAGGTATCACGATCATCTAAATAAAAAAATCCTTAGTACCACTACATATGTAGTATAATAATATTGTATGAAAGCCAAATACTTCGTAAAAAACCAAATAAAGACTATTCAAAGTATTTTTTAACAATACAACATTGATTAAAGTTATTTTTTTCCATTATAAAAAAAATAATTTGAAAAAAAAAAAAAAAACATATTCCTTACATAATCTTTTAAACTTAAAAAACATTAAACTTAAATAATCTTTTGAGTTGTAGAATATTTCTAGAAAAACAAGAAATATAAGAACTCTAAATATAAACGTATTTAACAAACAGTTATAGTTCAGATAACTTAACAAACTTATTAAATTAGAGCGATTTCCGAGACACTGTGTTAAAAATATTTAAAAGACATAAATTAAAATAAATTATTACAAAACTAAAAATAATTTTTTTTTTTTTTTTTTTTTTTTTTTTTTTTTTTTTTTTTTTTTTTTTTTTTTTTTTTAGTTTACAATGTTAGTCGTGATACAAAATAATATAAGTCGTGATATATAATAATATAAGTCTGATACATATATAATAATATAAGTCGTGATATATAATAATATAAGTCTGATACATAAAAATATTTAAGACTTCTACAAGAAAAGAAAAAAAATGAGTATATATATATATATATATGTATATACAATTCAGCGTACTAACAATATAAGACTAGGTTTCCGAAAGAAGATCAGAAGGATCTTATCACCGGAACCTTAAAAAAGACATAATGCAAAGATTTAACATAATGCAAATATGCAATATACTAATACAATATAACATAATGTAAATATACTGAACAAATATACTAACATATGCAAATATACTGACAATATGCTGAAGATTTCAAAAATACATTTTACATAAATTTTTAGTAGAATTTTAGAATGTTGTCCATACAGAGAATGAAGTTTTTTAATTTAGTTTTAAAAACAGGAAGAGTAGTAGAAGGGTCAAAATTTGGTAATACTATTTTATTCCAAAGATGGGGTGCACGATATGCAATACAGAATTGGTTGAACTTCGTTTTACAAAATGGTTCATTTAGAAAACTATTACTTCTTAATGTGTATTTATTTATTGGTTTTAAAGAAAAAAGGTCATTGAAAACAAATAAAGATAAATCGTTTTTCCACATAAAAGTAAAACATAAAACATTAAATATGTTAAGTTTATAAACATCTAGTACATTCATATAATCAAAAAAATATTTCGAACGTGAAAAGCGATCCGCATAATTAACTACACGGATTGCATGTTTCTGACGGCGATAAAGATGTTGTAATTTACTTTTCTCCGTACTTCCCCAGGCTATGATTGCATAATTTATATAATTATGTATAAATGAATAATAGAGCTGGGTTAAGTTTTTTTTGTTTAGATAATTTCGAGCTTTGTATAAAATGCCAATATTTTTAGAAACTTTGGTGCTTATATGATCAATATGCTTTCTCCAAGTAATATTTTCATCAAGATAAACACCTAAGAATTTTATAACAGTATCTCTTTTTATTATAGTTTCATCAATGTAAATTTGAGGCATATTATTTGTTAAAAATCGTTTTTTTGCGCAGGAGTGAAAAATAATCCATTTTGTTTTGTTAATATTTAAAGTTAATTTATTAGCTTTGAACCAGTTCGAAATGTGTTTGAGTTCTTTGTTTGTAGTTGAAAAGAGTTCATAAATATCAGTATGGGATAAGAAAAGATTAGTATCATCAGCGAACATTATACTTTTCAATTTGGAAGCTTTGTTTAAATCGTTTACATAGATTAAAAATAGTAGTGGTCCGAGAATAGAGCCTTGTGGAACACCACAAGTTATGCTCAGGGGTTCACTTTGATAACCATCATTACTATACACAAGTTGCTTTCGATTTGTTAAATAGCTTTCAAACCATTTTAAAATTTTATTGTTTAAACCATAATATTTAATTTATTGCATTATTAGCGCAACAATCGCTAACATATTGAACAAAGCATAATACAGTAGCACTAAGTTACATATCTAAGACAAAAAAAAAAGTTTTGTTAACATTAAACTAAATTATTCTTATCTTGTATTTTGTAGAGTTCTAAATTTTCACTGTTAGCTTATGATTAATCTAGCAAATTTCAAATCATAAAAATTTACTAAATTAAAACCATGTTTCAACAGTAGGCTAACTGAAATAGAAAAATGGCAACCTTCGAAATTAGGAACCTGATGCGAACCTCTTTCAGAGGTCGGCAAAAATTATTTGATTCAAAGGTCTTACCATAAAACATAGAAACGAGGTCGGCAATTTTTTGCCGTCCTCAAACACATTCAGGTCGGCAGTTAGGTCGGCATTGCCGAATGCCAACCCAAATTCCGAGAGTTGAAATGGTATGTAACAATAAGAATATTTTTTTTAATACAAAAGAAATATAAAAAACTTAAAACTTATAACTATTATAAAAAATAATTATAAAAAAAGTTTAAGATGTAAGAAAATGAACAAAAATATTTTTTTATTGTTACAAGATATAAATCCAAAAAGAATTTCTTTTTATTAACTTGTAAAATAATTAAAAAAGATTAACTAATTTATTTATCAACAAAAATCGGTTTTCTTCTTTCATTTGAATGCATCGAAAAATAAATAGATCTTCTTTCTATTGCAAAAGCATCTATAAATAAATTTATTTATAAATTGTTTTATTTCAAAAATTTTACAGTATCATACATATGCAATGGTCGTTTAAAAAATCATAAATATAATAATATATCCTGCCTTAAAATTATCCCAAAACACAATGACAGTTACCATCACATAGAAAGGATGAAGAACAAATTTTAATCCCATTTAAAAATGTTATATAAGGAAACATCTCGAGTTTGCCTTTCTCAAAACATTTTTTAGGTACTGCTGTCTCATACTGCTATTTTCCCAGACAACTACACTTGGATCAATTCCATAACATAGAGCAGTAGCATTTGCAATGGATAAAAACCACAATCATTTCCGTTATTTTGTGTCTGGCAATTCATAGCTTTAAAGGTTATTGAATTAACATCTTCATAAATTAATAATGATCGAGCAACTTGGTCTACAAATAATGGAATATCTTCATTTAAACTTTGAAAGAGAATCAAAATATTGATCAGAGTTTAAATTAGTAGAAAAAGACACATTACTTATTAGTACCCAATGTGAATTATTGACATAAAGTATTTGAACAAATTTTCCTGAAAGAATATAACCACCTGAAGTATTTTTATCAAAAATACATGAACTTTGAAACCTGGCAATACAAGGAAACTAAAATGAAAGGAAGCTTTGGGCATTATCTATCAAAATATTATTTAACCAGCCACACGGATTTTTTAAAATATCAAGGCCTAGTTTAATAGACTGTGTTGATAAGTTTAAAAAAAAGTGATTGTCAATAGAAACTACAGGATATGTATTAATTGATAAGTTTTCCACTTTACTTAGTTTGATTTTTTTATCTTTAACATTACATTTAGAGCCTAATGCACATCTCTTTCTAGGTTTGGTAACTTTTCTTATTTTCTCATTAATTTTAGTCTTTTTAATACTTATTGGAAGACAATAATCATGTTCTTTTAATGTTACTGCTTCTGATAAAGTATTATTTAATCTATACAAGGTTTCATGTTACATAAAGCAACAGCTTTCTTTATTTACTTTAATTACGATTTACAATAGCACCTTTTGTTTAAAACCTGTAATTTCAGCAGGTTCAAGCCAATCATGTTCCATTCGACTTCCTTTACAACCAATTTTTCTGTAATTTTTTATTAAAACTTTTGTCACCTGTTTTAAATGAAATGATTCACATACTTTTACCTGTTTAGAGGCATAATATTTTTTCATTTCTGTTTGAGCAATAGAATTATTAATATCTACTACAGCGTTAATTTTATTGCATGAATCTATTCTCTCTTGAATTTGCAATTTTCTGCTTTAAATTCAACAGTATCAACAATAAGATTTAAACTATTCGAATTTAATGGTAAAACTGAAAATAATTGGGCTTCTCTGCCGAACATTAAAAAAAATGGTGTAAACTTAGTCAATTTTTGTACACATGAATGTAGACCGAAAAAAACTAGTTCTAATAACTCATCCCAGTTATCTTGGGCTTCATTACATAATTTTGAAAGAGTTCTCTTAACAGTTCGATTAGTTCTTTTATCCTGCCTATTCGTTTAGGGGTGATAAGCTGAGGTTATTAAATGGTTGACGTTAAACGAAGAAAACATATTTTTTCAATGCTTTGTCATTTGTAACATTCCTTAACTCATTTTATAACATCATTAACCATACCTAAAAATTGAAAAAAAGTAAATTACTCTATAGTTGTATCAATTAAATTTTAAAATATTAAATTTTAAAATAAAAAAGTGTTTTATATATATATATATATATATATATATATATATATATATATATATATATATATATATATATATATATATATATATAAATATTACAAACTTAATCAAAATTTATAAATTTTTATAAACGAACATGTACCACGGAGTTCAAATTTTTTTTTGCATATTTCAAGAGAACTGCATGCTGCGATTTAAAAAACTAACCATCAGAAAGATACTGTTTAACATCATCAACAAAGTAAACATGGACAACCACTTTTAATATAAATAAAAAACAATTTTTAATATTTTAAATACCCTTACGAAGTGAGTAACTTTTTTAACAACTAATTTCATTTCTTAATGCACAGAAATGTATGTAAACTTTTTTAACGACTAACTTTTTTAATGCTGGGGCATTTTTTGCGCATCGGTAAGGAAGGATGTATGAACTCTCTAGTAAATGTTCTTCTGTGGTGTTCTGTGAAAAGACCATTAGGTCTTCTTGGGGCACCTAAAAAAATAAAAGAATAATAATAAAATAAAAATTTTGCGGCCGAGTAAATGGGTTGGACAGACTTATCAGGTATCTGACCTGATAATGAAATAATAGCGTTGGAAATGGATAGTTGGATCAACATTACTATGCGATGTAATAGCGACATTAATTTTTGATGTTAAGACGATGCTATTATCCGATGTAAAACTAACATGGAATTGCAATGTAATGGCTATGTAGCAGCAACATTGTATGCGATGTTGGAAATAGAAAGTTGGATTAACGTTAGAATGCGATGTCAGACAGCGAAATCAAGCAATATTAGCAAAATGGTAATAACCAATGTTTTATCTTAAGCTTCAAGTTTTGGACGGAAATTACAAAATTTTAACTAGACCCCAAAATCAGACTTAAGTTTATGCATCATTGATTATTGACATTTTTATTTAGACTCCAGCTGAAGTCTAAACAAACAATAAAAAGTTAGAACATAATTGTGGTTTTATAATAAAAAATGTAATATATAATTTAACCAGTTAACTACTTTTCACATTTTTACAATTTCAAAAATAATAATTTAAAGACCACTAATGACCTTATCTGCAGGAAAAAAATCTAGATTTGAACCATGTCATAAACAAGAAACAACTTAAAAAAGTAAAGACTTTTGAGACAATTAATTTGATTTTTTTTTCTATATAGTTATAGTTAGAAAATAAAAACAATGAAAACATATTGTAAAATAAGTGCTTATTTATTTTAATTCCATTTTAAAAATTTAAAAAATTAAAATTTTTTTATTTCTTTAATATAATAAAAACTTAAATTGCTTTAAATTTCAATAATTATTTATAGAAAAAAAAATTAAAGATTTAAAAATTATCATTTTTAAATTAATAAAATTTAGAAAGTTAAAATAAATATGTACTATATTGATACAGTGAATAATATAGGCTATATTGAAATTGGAAATAAAATACTTTCAAAATGGAAATAATTAACAAAACATACAGCTTTGCATATATATTACAACATTTAAACCCTTTTTGATTTGGTCTTGACCTTTTATTACTTTGGAGGCGATTTGTTTTAGAATATAAAACTTACCTACCACATGATAAATTGCAAACTAAAACAAAATATTTCTGCTAGTATTTAAATAAATATTGATAACATATAAAGAAAACAGAAATAGTCTGTATTAATGTAGACATTTTTGCAAGGTTGGCAAAAAAATATTTTTATCAAAGGCGACATATAAATTTTTTTCAAAGTTGATAGAAATTTTGACATTACTGCTTGTTTACAACTTTATAGTCATACTTTTCAGTCATATAGTATACATATATGACTTCTTTTACACAGAGGTTTACACAGAGTTTTTCTTAATTTCTACCAAAAGTTTCTGCAGTAAAAACCATTAAATTCATATTTTCAAAGTGACACACAGTTTTAGACAAAACAGGAATAAGCTGAAATGATGAAATTTTAGTAGTTTAAAAATAGCTAAACTAAATGATACAGGATAAACAATATACAACATTTTATAACATTCTTTAAAGTGAAAACATTTATTTATCATCTAAATCAACAAAATCAATCAACTCTTCTTTATATTTTTGCCAAACTAAATACTCTTTGATCATCAAAAATAACTGAAACAAATTTTTCTTGAAAAAGAAAACTTTTTGCTTTTTTAGCAAATTCGCTTTAATCAGCTGGATTAAATCTCTTAGCAGATCGAATATAATTTTTATAATACCTTGTAGCTCTTAAGCTTGGAAGAATTAAAATGACTACATTCAACTGTATATTCCTATCACAATTTGTTATTAGCAGGTGTTAATTTAGCAGCAAGGTTTAAACAACATTTTATTATTGCTAGTTAGTATCTAATAGATGATCTTTTATATCTCAAATATAAACAATGGGTTTTAGGTAACATCAAGCCAAATACAAAATATTAAAATATACTAAAACCTTCTACAATTTCTTTAAATCTTGGAATGACTTTTTAAATAACCTAAATGAATTATAACATTAATTATCAAAAAGTTAAATAACTAATTAAATTATCATTTCAAATAGATGGAATTTCTTTTTATTTTAATATAATTTATAATAAATTTCATTTTTTTAATATGAAAATAAATTTAAAAAATTTGATAAAAGTTCACCATTGAAACAAATCTAATCTTTCATTTAAAACCTATGGTGAACCATAAAACCCTAAATAGATAAATGTTTATCACTAATCAATCAAAGTATATTATTCTTATTGTTATATTTGTTATATTATACTATATAACAAATTATTTTTATAAATTGATCAAAAATAATTAATAATAAAAATAAAAATATTTACCTAATATCGCAATGTCATGGAAAAGACAACTTGGATAACCTGAGTTGATATACATGGTTTTTAGTTATGGTAGTAATAATTTAAGCATAGTTTTATGTATTTGATGTTTATGATAGTTGCATACTTTGATTTCATTGATTTATAGTTTCATGGCTTCTCATACATGGCCTAACAAGGAAAAAATTTGCATACTGTTGTTAAATACAAATGTTTGGCAAAACAAATTTAGTTTTAAAGGCATAGATAAAGTTGACAAAATCATTTTAAATTTAAAGCACTCTAAACATTATCTTTTTGTCTATTAAAGCAATCCAACTATTTTGTTGAATTTTAAAATTAAAACAATCTCAATGAGTACTCTTTGGTCTAAAGCAGTCCAGCAAATATGAGCAGCTAAATATATAAATACATGAATATATATATATATATATATATATATATATATATATATATATATATATATATATATATATATATATATATATATATATATATATATATATATAGAGAGAGAGAGAGAGAGAGAGAGAGAGATTAAAAAGCTAAAGAAAAAAATTAGGGGCCACCTCAATATTAAAAGTTTTAAGAGAATTAGTTAGAAAATTTATACATATAAAGTAGGATATTAAATAAAACAAAATGCTTTTAATTAATTTGCTTTACTTTCAAAGGACATTTGGTTGCTTGTAAAAATGTGTTTGTTGCTGTGTTTTTTATAAGCAACAGTTTTATTCCCAGATAAAATTTTACTCTAAAAAAATGAAGAATTGGTGCTTCATAATAGTTTCCCTGAGTCAAACTAACATAGTTGTAAAAGGTACATAATCAAACATACTGCTTAACCAAAAATAATTGTTAGCACTGGATCATAAAATATATTAACTGGATAAGTTTTTCCTTTTGCAATTATTAATATATAAATTTCTTTTATAATTTTTACCAATTCTGTTTCAGTTCATTTCAAAATTAGCTAATAATATAAAAATTAGATAAAGTGCTATTATAAACAAAATTGGAAAAAGAAACATTGACAAGGTGTTTGTCAATATTTGAAGGTGGATTTCCCTGACTTTTCTCTGATATTTTCCTGATCCACTGCCTCTTTTTGCTAAAAAGAGATAGTGGATCAGGTAGTTTGATTCTTTTGCAAAAATCTTTTAATTTAATTGCAAAAATGTCAACAGAACAATGAATATTGTGAGACAACCTTTTATTTACACAAATCATTTTCTTGTTTTTATATTATAACGAATTTTGATTTCTAAAATTTGTCTAAAATTTGGTCTTTCAAATCTAAAAATGTATTTCAAACCATTATTAGATGTTGTTTAGAAGCAGATATGATGAAAGTACCATACACCAAAAGAAAAATTGAATTATTATTTTTTATTTCTTATAAATTAACGCACTTTAGATAACTCTTAACAAGAAATAGTTGCATTTTATTTTGTATCATGTGATCTTAAGTATATTTTATGCATTTAATATAACTTTTTTCATAAAAAAATAAATTTATTGCAGTATTAATTATAATAGACAAAAATTACCTTTAATAACACCACAAATAAAATCCTTTTTTAAATTAACAGTCAGCCCTTGAACATAGTAATACAATGTTATGTTTGTAGAATTGTTGCATTTTATTTCAACTTCGTTTAAATAATATACTAATGTTTATTATTTAAACTAAATAATAAAGCAATAGTATAATATTAAATTAAAATAAAATGCAACGAATCTACAAACATTGAGTTGAAACATTGCAATTGCCGCAATTCCACCCTTTAATTTCGTGACTTTTCATGACAACTTTTATGTGATTTTATTTTTATAAAGTTATTCAAAATTTTAATGCAAATATTGGTGTTGTATGTTGAGTTAAAGTAAGACTTAGGTGGTTTCACCAAGGAGGTTTAATAAACACCCTTGGGTTTCATGTTTCTAAAAATTCTCAGAATTAATCAATGATATATTAAAAATAACTAGATGTCTAACTTCCGTATTTTTTGAAGCAAAAATCAGCCATTATGGGGGGGAAAAAATAAATAGTAAATCACGATTTTTTGGATCAAATAATATTTAATATTCAAAAATTAGAAATCATGGTTAATTCTTGTGCAGCAGCAGGTTGCACAAAGAGAGCAATGAAAAACAACAACAGAGTATTTCATAAATTTCCAATTAGTAATAGCGAACTCTGTAAAAAGTGGATTGTTGCTATAAATTGTGAAACATTCCTACTGAGCACAGCTGCATTTGTAGTGATCACTTTTTACCTTCAGATTACAATATACCTGATTTTAATAACAAACCGCAATTAAAACCTTTTTCTATGCCATCTATTACTATTGATTCAAAACCAAAAGTCAAAAGAAAGTTTAGTTCTATATCGCCACAAACAAATAAAAAGAGACTCATTTAAAAAGTTTCAGAAACAGGCAGTCACCATTACATCCATTTCTATTCGGATATAAGTGATAACAGTAATGCTAATATTAACACAATTTATATTTTCACAAAAAATATTGGTAATACTTTTTGTGAAAACTTTAGTGGATTGACTTTTGATATTATAAAAAATCAGTTTAAAAACAATACATCATTTCCTAAAGGGCTTAGGTATACAGATGAAATTAAAAAATTTGCTATAACTCTGCATTTTTACTCACCTAAAGCATAAAATTTTCTACGGCCTATACTCCATTTACCTGCTTCAAGCTCTTTAGCCAACTGTACTTCTTTTGTAGATTGTAGAACTGTTTTTCTTTGAAGATGTTTTAAGTTATATTAATATAAAAGCAGTGGCTGATATTAATTATAAAGATTGTGCATTAATTATAGATGCAATGGTAATCAAAACATCAGTTCTAAGCGATAAAAAGGCAGGTCGATTCATAGGCTTTACAGATTATGGAAAAGATATTGTCGCAATTGAACCAGATACACCAGCTACAGAACCATTGGTATTTATGCTGGTAGGATTACGAGGTCATTGGAAAACACCTATTGGCCTTATGCTGTGTAGTAAAATAACAACTGAAAACCTTTCATGTCTTATTAAAAAAGCATTAACAATTTCTTCTGATAAAAAAATTAATGTAGTAAAATTACATTTGATGGTGTAAGTGTTAACTTTAATTCTGTTGCATCACTAGGATGTACATTTCGGAAAAGACTAGAAAAAATTAATGGACAATTTACTTTTGAAGGCTATAATCACTACTTGTATGTAATCCCTGACCCAAGTCATTTGCTAAAATTAACTAGAAATGTGTTATGTGATTTAGAGCGACTTAAGGATTGTAATTTTTAAATAGCTCTGGATTTATTGTAAGAAGATTATTATAAGATAACATGTTCTGTGTGTGCAAACTCCCACAAAACAATTTTGTGGAATATTCTTATAGGGCATCAGTTCTTTCATTGATAAACATAAAAAATAGGAATGTGCTTATTGCTCCAAAAAATGGTGTTATACAAACTATAATAGTATACGAGAGCGTTTTCAAAATTTATGTCAGCAATGGCAATTTTAAAAAACCAAAAATGAATGTGGAGCGAAATCTTTAACTGAAAATGATTTATGCAGTTAATAAAATTATTATTGAAAAACATTTTTTTTAAAGACCTAAATGAACACGATGCTCACCATGAAGCTGTTACCGAAGACATGCATTGCACACAACTAATAAAAATGTTAGCAAATGACTTTTTTATCAGACTGCAAAGATATGGCCAATTATATACAGAAAAATTGGTCTATATATATATAATAATTGGTCTTTGTCAACAATCAAATAAATTAATTTTATTCAAAGGTTGATAGCATATATATATATATATATATATATATATATATATATATATATATATATATATATATATATATATATATATATATATATATATATATATATATATATATATATATATATATATATATATATATATATATATATATATGAAAATATTATAAATAAAAATATTAAATTAAGTTTTATTAACTGTTACTTTTCTTGATTTGTTGTTTATATTGAAAAACTTGCTTTTTAAAGGAAAGATATTCTTTATATACCTGAATACCTATGGAGCTTTTTTTGTGTTGAAAACCTTACTAGATTATAACATAACATTGAATTAAATTTATTTAATTGACGGTAAATCAATTATAGAAAAAAATAATAATGATTTTTATGATAACAAGAAGTATTTAACCATGAATAAAATTCTAACATTTCTAGAAGGAACCTCTAAGTTGTGTCACATAGAACTTAGTTAATAGTCAAGACAGTTTTATAAAATGTTTCATTACAAGTTTTAACTCTGTTTACCTTGCAGTTATGTTATAAAACCTCCTAGCATTACTGCAGAGGGTAATTAATGACTAACAGGTGCATAAAATGTTAATAGATTAAAGATTAAAATCCAACTAAACCTAAGATTTTAGCTGAATGTTAAATTTTAAAATCATTCAAACTTAAATTTTAAAATTAAAAAAAATGAAATAAGTATGATTTTGAGACGTTTAAAAAAACAATGCATGTTTACGTAATTATTAAATTTTTAATCAAAATCAAAATAACATCAAATTTTTCAGATACCTGTATATCGATTTTTTATTGATTACATTTTTAAACAAATTTTATGCTTCATATTTGTTTTGATTAATAGCGTAAAGATTTTGCCCTCCATAATGGCCGATTTTTGCTTCACTTTTTCTTATACCGATTTACGGCAGTTAGACACAATGACGTAAATAAATAACTAGATGTCTAACTTCGGGATTTTTATAAAATAAAAGTGAAGCCGATTTATTTGTTTACTATTTTAATCAGCCATTATTATATCGGGCAGAAAACAGTAAATATCATATATAATATAGAGAGTAAATTCGCGACATAATTTCTTTTACCTTGCTGAAGTATTTATTTAATTCAACTATTTTCATCACAAAATGGTAAATTCTTGTGCTGCATATGGATGTTCTAATAGATACATAAAAGGTGGCAAGAAATCCTTTCATAAATTTCCTTTTCAAAATTCTGAATTATGTAAAAAATGGATTATTGCTTTGAAACGTGAAAATTTTCTTCCATCCAAACACACCTGTATCTGCAGCGACCATTTTTTAGAATCAGACTACAATTACTGTATCCCAGACAAAAAAAATCTAATTCTTGATCATTATCATAAGCCTATTTTAAAATGTAATGCTGTGCCATCAGTTTTTGTATTTTCTACAAATATTCAAAAGACTAAAAGGAAACTCCCATCAATACGAACATCAGTAAATTCATTATCTAAATTTGATTCTTTTTCGAAAAAAACAAAGTTTGATATTTGCCCTGTTATAGACAAACCAAGCAAAGAAATTAATTCAACACATAATGATCAGCCAGAAAGCACTATTGAACAAAATGACCACACTAGTCAATCTCCAACACAATCTATAAAATCTTTATCACCAGCAAAAGAAAAATTAAAAAAAAAAGTTAAGGTTTTACAACAAAAATTAAAAAGAAAAGAAAAGAAAATCTGCTCTTTACAAAACATGGTTTCCCTTTTAAAATCTAAAAATTATTTGACTACTGATGCTGGAACTGTTTTAAGCGAAAATTTTTCTGGACTCTCATATGAAATTATTAAGAACCAATTTTCCAATCAAAATATTAACCCAAAAGGTCACAGATACAACGATGAAGTAAAAAAATTCGCTTTAACTCTTCATTTTTATTCTCCTCGTGCGTATAACTTTCTTCGGCCAATGTTATGTCTTCCTGCTGCCAGTTCAATATCACATTGGACATCATCTGTAAATTGTGATCCCGGTTTATTCCTTGATGTTTTTTCATATCTTGGTGATAAACAGAAAACAGATATTAATTTTAAGCATTGTGCTCTTATTATTGATGCTATGGCAATCAAAAACAGTATAATTTATGACAAAAGTTCAGGTCACTATATTGGTTTTTGTGATTTTGGTAAAGATATTTCTGTATGTGAACCTGATACTCCAGCTACAGAGGCATTAATTTTTTCATGTTAGTTGGTTTGCGAGGACATTGGAAAACACCCATTGGTTATGTTTTATCAAATAAAGTTAAAGCAAGTGATTTAACATGTTTTATCAAAAATATTTTAGATGTGGCTTTGACGTATGAACTTTGTATCAAAAGTATTACATTTGATGGTACTAGTACAAATTTAAATTCCGTTGTCCCATTAGGATGTAAGTTTGGCAATGTCATAGACAATATAGTTAGTACTTTTTTATATAACAACCAACTGCTCCACATTTTCCTAGACCCATGCCATATGCTTAAATTAGCTAGAAATTCTCTAAATGATTTGGGTGTTTTTATTGATGATGAAGGCTGCTATATTAAATGGAGTTATATTAAAGCTTTGTTTGAGTTACAAGAGCTTGAAGGTTTAAAATTTGCAAACAAAATTTCAAGAAAACATATTGAATTTCATCACCACAAAATGAATGTTAAGATAGCTGGCCAAACACTTAGCAGCTCTGTTGCTGATGCAATTGAATTTTTAATGGTATCGCAGCATCCATCTTTCTTAGGAGCAAGTAGTACAATCCGTTTTATAAGAGTTATTGATAAATTATTTGACATGCTCAATTCCAGAAATCCAAATGGTAAACACTTTAAGAAACCTCTATATCTAAATAATCAGCTTTATTGGAAAGATTTTTTAAACACTACGATTACTTATCTGAGCAAGTTGACTGATATTAATGGCATTCCATTGCTTTTACATCGAAGAAAGACATTTGTTTTAGGTTTAATTGTAGATGCTAAAAGCACTCTAAAATTATCCTTCGATCTGTTAACACTTCATGAGAAGCCATTTAAGTATGTTCTAACTTACAAATATTCCCAAGATCATCTTGAACTACTATTTGCTTGCATTCGTGGAAAAAATGGTTACAACAACAATCCTGATGTAGTGCAGTTAAAATCATCGTTAAAACAGATTCTTCTGCGAAACTCCATTGTTGGATCGAGTCATGCTAACTGCCTAATGTTTGAGCCATATTCTAATGGCTCTATTTTTTCTCTTAGTTGGAAAAAAAGGTTGTGTTCTGTTGATAATTTTGACCAAGAGGATATTGACTTTAAAGAAGTGCTTTTGTACTGCGATGAACTTCAAATGTCTAGCTACAAAGAAGCAATATTGGGATATATTTCTGGTTTTATAGTCAGAAACTTGATAAATACTATTTCATGTAATGTTTGTGCTCAATCATTAACTGATATTTTATCATACGAACATTCCTATGCGAAATCTCATTCTTCGTTAAATAATGTGAAAAATCGTGGTGGTTTGTTTTTGCCATCAAGGGATGTTGTTTTTGTTGTAGAGATGTGTGAGAAAGTATTTAACTTCTTTATTAGTGGTAAAGATTTTAAAAATCCAAAAATAACCTCAGATAAAAATATAAAGCATAAGATGCTCCATTGTGTTAACAAATTAATTATTAAAAAAAAAGTCTTTAAAGGACTTGATAGTCACGACATAGAATTGTGGACTGAAAATGAAGATTTGCATTCCAGCCAGCTTGTTAGAAAGATATGTGAATATTACTTTAGAATTCGAATGTTCAGATATGCCCAGGACTATACCACTAAAGTTCTAAGTAAGTCGTCAATTGGTTGACAACAAACAAATAAATTAATATTGTTCAAGGGTTTATGAATATTTCATTTTATTGTATAAAACTTTAATTAAAATAATAAAATATGTTATACGATGTTTTAGTTTGATGTTCTAAATGCAAATATGTTTTTAAATATATATTTTTGTGGCTATAAAAATAGCCGTTTGTTTTAGTTTGTTATAACAAACTTAACATGCTAACGTTAGCATGTCCAATCTTTGACTAACAAATATGTATGTATTGACTGTATGCTCACTAAATTGATCGTTTGTGATTCTAATCATCTTTAATTCCAAGAATAAGGACGTTAAAATTGCCAATATCTTTTTATAAGAATGTGATCGCTAAAAGCTTTTTGCCCGATATAATAATGGCTTCCAACGCATTAAATAGGCTTCACCAAAAACGGCGAAGTTAGATATCTAGTTATTTATTTACATCATTAGTTAGACATCAAGTTATTCTTAATATATCATTGGAATTAATTTACGGAACCAAAAATCGAAACTAAAAGCCGTAGTCGCTAGACGAACTCATCTCAAAATATATTTTGTATTTTTATTATTGATATATATATATATATATATATATATATATATATATATATATATATATATATATATATATATATATATTATATTATATTATATTATATTATATATTATTAGACATACATACAACAGCCCTTGTTACTTACAAAAGTGGTATATATACTTTGTTAATACGGACAATGTATTAGTAGTGCTAACAATGTTAGTAAAACAAATCAAAAACAAAATCAATGAGTTTGAGTTGAGTTTATTTATTTCAGAAATCAATTATATAATACATTTATATATTTTGATGAAGAAGTGCTACACCAGGCACTTCCATGCTGAAAGAAGACACTCGTGTGTCCGATCATTCATCTATTACGAATTTCAATTTATGAACACTAACCTTAAACGAGTTGACTGATTCAGCTTTTATGGCGTTTAAAGGTAGTGTATTCCAAAAATTCACGATGCGATTAGTGAAGAAATTAAATTTTTCTTGACAGTTTTTTACCCTTTGGCGTTCGAGTCGAAGATAAT